TGCACGCGCTCTGCTGCTGGCGGCCCGGGGTTCGGATCCCAGGCCCACACCTACGCACCGCTTCTCCTGCCATGCTGAGGCCGCGTCCCACGTACAGCAACTAGAAGGATGTGCAGCTATGACATACAACTATCTACTGGGGCTTTGGGGGGAAAAATAAATAAATAAATAAACAAAAAGAAAGATGTGCAACTATGACATACCACTATCTACTGGGGAGAAAAAGGGAAAAAAAAGGAGGAGGATTGGCAATAGATGTTAGCTCAGGGCCAGTCTTCCTCAGCAAAAAGAGGAGGATTGGCATGGATGTTAGCTCAGGGCTAATCTTCCTCACACACAAAAAAGAAAGAAATTTAACACCCTAAATTACTAAATTTACAGAGACTATTTCAAAGAACTCTGTATCTTATTAGCACACCCAAGGGTATTTTAAGCAACATTTTATAAAATGCAATAACATACTGATATAAACATCCTTTGGTAAATGTTAGAAATATAATATCTAATAAATTTCATGAATCTAGAAGCAAGGTCTTCCTTCAAGAATTAAAAAGTCTGGGAAATATAAGTTTAGTAGAGGAGATGACAACGATGCTGAAAAGACTGAAAATCTAGACTTGATATAATAGCATTTTATTAAAAAAAAAACAAGGTTTTTTTGTTGACTACAAGCTTCATATGTGCCAATAATGGGGTAGAGTTGCTTTTATGATTTTTGATTGTATTAACACAAGCATGACTCCTAGGTTATTGCAATCAGAGATTTTATTCTTTGTTGGTTGGACCAAATCTGGAACAGTGTTCAATTTATGGGACTACGTTTTAAGAGGAACACTGAAAAGAATACACAGAAAGAAGAGAAAATGCTGTGTGGAGAGAATTAAAGGGAACAGAACTCCCTTCAAATACTTGAAAGCAGTTACATAGAGTAAGAAATAGACTTGTCCTGTGTTCCTCTAAAAGGCAAAACTCAGACCAGAATATAGATGTCATAAGAGGAGGATTTCAATTCAACTTCAGAAAAAAAATAGCTACAGTTGAATGTACTGTATTAGTGAGGTCCCCATCACTAAAATATTTGGGTAAAGTCTGGAATTCCACAGAGGAGATTCCAAGTGTCCCTCAGCGGGAAGGTTGTGCTGAATCAACTCTACGATTCTATTTTCTATGCACACCTAAATAGCTTCTGAGAGTAGCCTTCTAGTAAATGATACAGGATGGGTTATTCATAATGATGACCTTAATTCATACAGAAAATATTAAACTGTGACCAGCTATACATCATTGAACGTGGTGGAGCTGTAGAAACTTCCTAGAGGCTGCCTGTTTTCCAGCAGTTGACCATATTAATGTGAGATCAGACCTGGCTGGGCAGGTCTGGCTGACGGGTGGGACTATCCAATGTCCATTAGAATGCAGCATTCAAGATAGAAATGCCAGTTGGAAATAAACTCATCTCCAGGGACGAGAGGGTCAGACACATCAGCAAGGCTTCTTAATAGTGTCTTAGTCATCAACTAGAGTGATGTTCTGAATAGTGCTTCTCATCTAGATTTGTTTTCCAGCTTCCTGTGAATACATGAATGCCTTAGGGGAAAAGCGAATTGTGAGCAAAACCTAAAAGAACTGTGTTGACTATAATGTCTGTAAGACTTTAGAATACAAGATAATATTGCTTTGGTGCCCATATGACACACTACAACACAAAACGGAGGTGTTCTTTCTGTTTCTGCTCAGAACACAAACTGACTTGGCTCATTATAGGCTCCAAGAACACAGAGCTACTGTTTTGTGTAGAGCGTTTCAGCATATCAACACTGCCTATGGCAGCGTTGGGATTTGGGGGAAGTGCCCAGGAGGAGACAGGCTGTGTCCAATGGCCAAGGACCTGCATTTACTGTTGTATGCAGTGGGGGCCTTAGAAGCCAAAGAAAGAAGGTAAGGATCTTTTCATCAGCATACTGAGATATGTCTTGGTGCTTCCCAGTAATAAAAGGGGGAGAATTTGAGTGCAGAATCCCTTTGAGAGAATGTGAGCGTAAGTAGCCATTTCTACAGAGTAGCCAGTTCATTATTCTAAACACAACCTGTCTGTAAATGAAACATGTCTATAAACTGTCTGACATTTCTTCCACTGAGAGGTAGGATCTACATACTCTCTCTTTGAATTTGGGCTGGACTTAGTGACTTACCTGTAGCCAATAAAATGCAGCAAAAGTGATGCTCTGTGACTTTGGAGGCTAGGTCATAAAATGCAATACAGCTTTCACCTTGCGTACAGGCACACTAGCATTTGGAGTCCTCAGCCACCTTGTAAGAAGTTTGACTAGACTGAGGCAGCCATGCTATGCAGAAGCTCAGGCCTCACGAAGAGAGTATGTGTAGGTATTCTGGCTGACTGCCCCCACTAAGGTCCCAGCTTCAACTACTCATTGAGATAGCCCTAGGCATTGAGTTTTCCCAGCTGAGGTCCCAGATATAATGGAGCAGAGATAAGCCATCTCTCCTATGCCTTGTCTGAATTCTGACTAAGAGGGTAACTTTATATTTTGTAAAGGACAAAACTATAATGTTTGATCCTCACAATAATACAGTTAAGTAGGTTGGACCGGCATTATTACCACCCTCATTTTACAGACTAAAACAACAATAAACAGGAATTTGAGCTTACCTGCTTTGAGATTATACAGCCAAAATGTAGCATGCTGACACTAAAATCCTGATCTTTGGACAGCCAAGTTTATGCTTTCTCTATTGTTTCCTATCTGGATACTGTGGGACTTTAGAATGGCCTACAGGAAATCAAATAAGATGTATATAGAATTTGAAGACAAGGTCAGAAAATATTAAATGAACAGAAACTAACAAGAATCAATATTAAATGGAGGAGACCAGCTATCTTGCAGAGAAATAACCACGTAAGATATGATCTACAGATTGTTGCTGATAAAGAAGGCTATAATTTCAAATTGAACCAATGAAAAAAATCTTAGGATTTTTAATGTTATGAGGAAGTGTTATGATAATATAATATTTTTAGGGGCTGATTTTTTAAAAAAATGAAATAGGACTGTTAGAGAACTAAAAACTCTGCCAGTTGTGTTTCTCATGAAATCAAGGGGAAAACATGCCATGACTGGCTGATGGTGCTATTTTAGTCTGCTTAGAAGCATGTCCTTGGGCTGGCCCGGCGGCTTAGCAGTTAAGTGCGCGTGCTCCACTGCTGGCGGCCCGGGTTCGGATCCCAGGCGAGCACCGACGCACCGCTTCTCCGGCCATGCTGAGGCCACGTCCCACATACAGCAACTAGAAGGATGTGCAACTACGACATACAACTATCTGCTGGGGCTTTGGGGAAAAATAAATAAATAAATAAAATTATTAAAAAAAAAAAAAGAAGCATGTCCTTATAGTAAAGAAGGGCGCTTCAGACTAGTATAGCTTGATGACATTATTCCTTATGATAATCTTCATGTACTCTACTTTTGCCAAGCCACCTTTTGATTTAAATTTAGTTCCTCAAGGAGACTTTTGTATTTGGAAGAGAAAGTACAATGAAGCTAACAAAGCATAAAGTGCTCCCTCCACAGGTCATATTTCATATTTTTCAATCAGAGGAATATTAGTATTCTGATTAATTAAGCAGCCTTACACAACTCCTTACCTTGGGAATAAAGATCAGCTCCCGGGCTCACCGTGACTCTATCAGTATGCAGACATCTGCTTCAGAAGTCAGTAGGGCAGCTTTCTACCTCTTGAATTATCGTGAATACGATAAGGAGGTCACTGGTGACTTCTCCCTTCACGAGAAGTACAAAAATGGAGAGTCCATTCAAAGTTTCTCATGACTTGATGTTTAGGTTACTTTGGTGATTAACTGCACACCACCAGGAGCCCACAGTAACTTCCACTATGTTTCTCACTCCTATTTCTCCCTTCCTTAATTGTTTTTCCCCAAATACTCCCCTTTCCTTTTAAATAAATGTATTTTTAATAATGAAGTGGGTTTCTTTAATTCCATTCTGTAATGGGGCCTTCCAAAGAGAATTTAGCTCTCCTGTCTTACTTCTTTTCAAGCATGTTTTGCACAGAGAATGCCTTGGAATATTCTGTTTATGAAAGGCACAAAAGTTATTTATTTTCAATAATTTTTCTTGAAAATAAAAATGATTCAGACGCCTAGAATGCTCTGTGCCTTGTCTAGGCCCTAGCACATAGAAAGTGCTCACTTGTTATTTGTTAAATGAATGAATCTGGAAAACGAAAAATACACTAAAAGAAAACATTTTATTCCTCAACGATGGGAAAAAAAAGCTTTTAGACTTCCATTTAGACCCATGTTAACAGGCCAAATCCTTTAACGAAAAGGATACAAGCATCACTCTGATAATTTAGCTGTCCCTAAATATATTTCTATCAATTTCTGCTTGGATGTTTCAGCCTCGGGGGTTTCAGGTCTTATTTTTACGACAGATTCGTTCCTTGTAATGGAAATAACACAAGTGGTATGTGCTTCCCTGTCTTCCTCCCTCTAGGATTTCAACTTCTCCTGGAACATCCCCCCTGCTCTTCTAGTAAATCCCGCATTACAGAACAGGCTTAGGACGGAGCAGAAAAGAATAAAGTAGGACATCGGAGCCATGGAAACAGCGGAGCGCAGTGGAGCGGGGGAAACTAGTGAGCACGCGAGTGGGCAGGAGGGGAAGGAACCCTCTCCTGGCGACGGCGCGAGGGCGCTCCTACGATTACGTCACGCACACCAGGTGACGTCACGACCGTGACACGCGGGTGACGCCGTTGCCGCGGCGACTTCTAGTCGTCTCCGCCCCCTTCCCCCGCCCCCCGCCTAGCGTCCTTCCCCCAATCCTCTCAGGCTCGTCTGCGCCTGGGGCCGCGGGCTGGTTCCTGAGGTAGCCCGGGCGCTCTCCCGCCGCCAGCGCTGCCCGGGCTGTCCCTCCCCGCCGCCCCCCGCCCTCCACCTCCGCCTCCCCCCGCCCTCCGCCTCCCTTCCCCCTCCCCGCCCAGCAGCGGTCGCTCCGGCCCCGGCTCTCGGTTATAAGATGGCGGCGCTGAGCGGCGGCGGCGGCGGCGGCGGCGCGGAGCAGGGCCAGGCTCTGTTCAACGGGGACATGGAGCCGGAGGCCGGCGCCGGCGCCGCGGCCTCTTCGGCTGCGGACCCCGCCATTCCCGAGGAGGTGAGTGCCGGCGCGCCCTGCACCCCTCCCGTCTCCGGGCTCGGTTGGCTGGTGTTTATTTTGGGGAAAGAGGTGGCGGTGGCGGCTCTGGTGCCTTCAGCCTCCTTCTCCTTTAGGCTGTGCGGGGTGGGAGAGGGGCATCTCCCCTTGTCCCTCTCCATCATGCAGCTCCTCGCTACGTAAACACACACAATGGCCCGGGGGGGTTTCCCTGGCCTGCACCCCAGATTGGGGGATTCGGGCAGCGGTGGTTGAGCAGGAGGCTATCAGTAGGGGGCGAGACTCAGGGTTGGTCCGAGAAGGTCACGGCTGGCTGAAGGTAGCCAGCCTCGCATCGCTTAGATGTTTTCGTTATTTTGGGTGGGGGGTCGGGAGTGGGGGAGGGTGACTGTGGCGGCGGCGGCGACGGCATCATCATCCAGGCGGAAGATGTAGGTTAGTCGCCAGGACCGGGACCCCAGGCCGACTTACTGTTGTGTGTAATTATTACATGGTCATGGAGGTGATGGGGCGCATCATTCCCTCTCTACTCTCCCTGACTGTCCCCCTTTTCAGGCCGCTGCCCTCCCTTCCACTTTTCTGCTGGTTTGGGGGATTTCTCTTCACGTCTTTTAACCAGCGGATGGTTTTGATTTAGTCTTTACCTTTTCAGCCCTAAATCCCACTGTTTGCACTCTCTTTTCTATCCCAGCCTCAGGCCCCGGTTCCTAATGTTTGTCAGTGCTCTGTCGCTGGCTGGTAACCCACATCCCATTCCCATCTGGCGCCCCACTCATTTGCCAGTTATCGGACCTGCCTGCCTTCTAACCTCAGGTCTCCTTAAGACCATTTTTGCACTTCTCTTATGCTAGTCCTCTTGAGGCCCTCTACATCATTCCACCAGTCCCTAACATTGTTATCTGTTATCTTCACAAATCCATCTGGACGCTTTGGAGCTACTTACTTTCTGAATCCTGAAGCTGTCAAGATTCCATCAGGTTTCACTTGTACTTCTGGCACTTTTTGGTTACTCTTCTGTTGTGCATTCACACCTCTATGTTTATTCCTACCCATTTTTAATAGGTTTGATTGATTTCTTTCTGTCGTCCTCCTTTTTGTCCCAATTTTTTCTTCGCTTTTTCCTCTTTAGTCTTGGCTTCTCTTAGCCTGTTTTTGCATTCTTTAGCCTCTTATCACCTTGTCAAATTATTTACATTTCGTTATTACATAAAATTTATTACATTTAGTATTTTTTATTTTATCACATAAAATAATACACATTATTATACTTTACAGATAGTGAGAATATATGGCATAATAATTGTGCTTTGTAATTATTGACTTGATAATATGACTTATTCCATTGACTTTGCTCAAAGTTCTCTTTCCTTCCTACTACTTAACTGATATTTTCCCAGTTCTCATAACGCCTTGTTCTGACCATGCAATTCTCTTTTTCCTGCTTCATCATCTTTACTTCGGAAATCCATCCGATATGCTTGCTCTACTCAGTATCAGTTTGTTCACAGTAATGTTTGTTTTTGTCCACCTATGCGCAGGATGTGTCCCGTACCATAGTTTGATCTAATCTAAATTTCTCATGTTTTTTCTTCTTTCTTAACAAAATCACACCACTTTCTACTTAATTTCCAGTTTGCACTTCTCCTCAAATCAGTTTCCTTGAACATCTGTTCATTTTCCCCAACTTCTTAAATTCTAAGGATAGAGTTCTTTCCTTCTTCCATTTCTTAGTTTATTCTGTTTTTCTTGCCCCGTTACCATTCATTTGGCCTTGTTTCCTGGCTTTTGGTAGTTAACTTGCTGAAGCTTCCTCTTGTCTTCCCCACACCTCCACATTCCTTCTTATTTATAAACAGTTTTGTACCGTTGACATGGAAATTTATTTTTAGGATACATTGTTTTTAATGGATAAATACTAGGGGGTCACATCTGCTGTCTATTTTTTCCATGAATCGGATATGCCTTTGTCTTACGAGGCACAGGTGCCTCTAGTCTTACTTTGCTCTGTAGTACATGTGTGGTTTTGTTGAATTCTTTGTTTCTCTGATTATAGCATTGTTTACATTGAGAACTTTGTTCCAGAGTTATTAGAACAGTTTGCAATGATACAGAGAAGGCTTTTCTTAAGTACAGTCTCCGCTGCCTTATTTGAAAGGCCCAGATTGTTTGAGCTCTACCCTCTGAAGATTCTGACTCAGTAGGTGAGAGCTAGGACCATGAGGTTCTGTATTTGGCACACTTCCTGGGCAGTTCTCTTGTATCTATGCTGAGAACCTCTAGGCTAGATGAACTTATTTTAAATTGCCATAATTGGAAAGTATATTGGTATCTCCTGAAACTATAAGAATACTCTTAACTAATTTTAATTTGTGTTTCCCACTGCCTCCTCCACCCAGGTTTTAATGTTTAGTGGTGAATAGTAGTTTTCCCTTTATATTTTCTTATAAGAGTTGATAATAAATGTATTTGACTGGGGGAAGGGAGTAATAATAAATGATTAAAAATGGATCTCTTTTGAATATAGATATCATTGTTATGGATGGTAGAATAAATTCCTCCAAGAAATAATTTTAAATTTTAAATTGGTATTGTTAATTCAAGGGAAACTGAAATATACTGTGGTCTTTTAATTGAACTGTCTTCCTTATATGCGCTTAAAGAGATATAATTGCCAAGCACATGGAAAGAAATGAAAAATTCTGCTTGAGTAAATTGACATGTTTTATTCTAAAGAATTACCTTACCTGACAATAAAATACAGGTTTTTAAAAAAAAGTTTCTCAGAGGGAAATTTCACTGCACTAAAAATTTCTAATTAAGAGGGAAAGCACATTCATTATTGAAAAATTAGAGAGCTGTACGTACAAAAAGTAAAAAAATCCTCTGTAATCTTGCCACTATGATAAAATTACTATAAACATTTTAATGTATTTCCATATACTCTTTTTTATGCTTGTATAATACAATCTATGTGATTTTGTAATATTTTTTAATTTAACAATATAGCAAAACATTTTACATATCATTATACTGTGATTTTTTAACTAATATTCTTTGAATATTAGGTTGTTTCTGATTTTTTTTTTTTACTGTTATCAAATGTCTTGAGCATATAATGTAGATTTTAGTTTTTAAAATTATGTTGGAAAGTGACCAAATTTCATGTCCTGTATTTCTAAGTATTACTTTGTAGACGTTCAAAATAAAATATTCTGGTAACTGACAGGAGCTTATCAAATATTTATCAAACGAATGTGCTTATACTTTTGGCATTAAACATTTAGTTCTGACCATTTATATTTCCCTGATGTTATTTTCTTTCTATGACCATGTGGTTAATATGGGATAATATGACCATATGGTATAATAAATACATTTATTTAAAAAATATGTATTATACCAGTGTGTGATATTTATTAACTATTCTTCTTGTGCTGTGTTTCTGTAGAAGGGAGCTTCTTATAATTGCATTACAATTAAAATTGTATTATTTTCAAGATCTCTTATCACCAATCTTAGTTAAGCTGTGCAATTATAATAATGCGTTGACTAAGCACTATTCTGGGATGGAATTTCCTTTATAATGAGGTCCACTGTATTAAAACACATCTTTATGAGCCATGCCAAACCAGGTTGGATTACATCATGCTCCTAAAAAGTGGTAGTCCCACTAAGGTATGTGCTTGTGCAGTTCTGGCTATTGCTGTTAATACTTGTCTAGATTTATTCGAAGGCGGACAAAACATGCCTATTAGCCAAACTATAAAACAGCTGTTTGGTATTTCTAGTGTTGCCTTTCTGAACTCTTTCTCCTAATTTAATCAACTCCTTCCTTTAGGCGTTCACTCACCTCTTCTTTTGTTTAGAAAATTATCTGATATCAGTCACTTATATATTCTGGCTATTAAAGGAATCGATTGTCAGTAAACAGATAAGAAAGGAATGTTGATACTGCATGCTTGAATCCTTGAATGTTATAAACCTGAGAGCAAACTTGATTTAGTCGTATTTGGATAATAGGCCAGAAAAATTATATTAGGATAACAGGCTAGAGAAGTGTGACTTTTCTCAGTTCCCTGTCCCTTGCTTTCTTGATAAGGATGAGCAGGAAGCTGATCTGTTATAACAGCTGGAAACCTATGTTCTGTGAGTGGTGGGGAAGAGAGAAGGAGCAGGGTACATTGTTTTCTGAGACCTGATGTTTACCTTGTTGCAGAATGAGGCAACTAAGTATTTTTCCTTTTTCCAGTCATAAAGTTGTTTTCTTCTTTAGAATTGCAAAAGTGCATTTTGTTTTCTTTGACACCTTGATATTAATTTAGCTGAGTACTTACTGAACATTTTGTGTCATAATCCCCTTGTTTTAGGAAATCCAGTATGTTCCTATGCTTCCTATGTTTCTGCCTCAAATTGTCATTAAAATGTGCCTCCATTGTCAGTAACTCGTACTGGATTTTGTCTTCCCCAGAATTTGAATGGTCTTAAGTCCTGTACTCGTTGTCTTTCTCTATTTCATTTGCATTGGTTATTCTGTAGTCAGAATCAGCAATAGTTATGGAACTTCTGAATTCAAAATAGGTGAGCCTGGGGGGCCGGCCCCATGGCTTGGAGGTTGAGTGAGCACGCTCCGCTACTGGCGGCCTGGGTTCAGATTCCGGGTGCACACTGACACACCGCTTGTCTGGCCATGCTGAGGCCGCGTCCCACATACAGCAACTAGAAGGATGTGCAGCTCTGACATACAACTATCAACTGGGGCTTTGGGGAGAAAAAGGGAAAAAAAGGAGGAGGATTGGCAATAGATGTTAGCTCAGGGCTGGTCTTCCTCAGCAAAAAGAGGAGGATTGCCATGGATGTTAGCTCAGGGCTGATCTTCCTCACCAAAAAAAAAAAAAACAATAGGTGAGCCTGTTTAGGAGCTTTTCTGTTTTCTAAGGTTAAACAGTGCTTGCATAGTCATAATGTTATGGATAACTTAATGTTAATATAAGAACCAAAAA